TCCTGTTGCGAGACAGGTGAACCGCGCTGGGGTGCATGGGATCGCCAACGACTGGGTCACCGACCGGTCCACTCTCTCCTTTGAGAGTGGGCTCAATGTACAGTCTGGCCACAGTGAGGACTGTCTGCGGGCAGTTCGAGCTGTGCTCCGTTGGGACCGGGAACACTGAAAAGGTGTCTAAGTCTAATCACTCCTTCCTTGGTTTGACTTCTCCTGACCTTCGCTTGCCTTCTGAGGCCTCCTTGCGTTGGTCGGGAGTCTGGGAACCTTCGGGGGCATCATGCGCGGGTTGGTCCTTGGATTGATGGTGATCATTTTGCGTGGTGGCTTCGGTTTCCGTTTCCACGTCCCTGTTGTGGTGATCATCTCGGGTGAAATGAATGCATGGGTTCCCTTCGCGGTCCCCACGTCACTCGTTGGTGAGTGGATCCACTCGGGAAATGAATGGTTTCGTTTTCCTTGTCACCCGGTGAGTGGATCCTTCGTGCTAGGTTCGACCGTCGCGTGCATGGTGTGGTAAGAGGAGCGCCCCTGGCTGCGCCAAGTGCGTCGCTTGGTTGAGGTCGACACTGCTCCCTCCCTTGCGTGTCCTCGCACTTGGAGGCCAAAGCTCTCAAGCGCAGTGCTGAGGCTTTTAAAAGCCTGTGTCTCGCTGTGTACGGTAGCGCTTCCACGGCAACTTCACAGCATTGGACACAGAGCCTTTGCGGGGTGTAGTAATCTAGTATGCCTCACATATCGCAGCACCAAGGCCGGCTGACGCCGCCTACAAGTAGCAACCATATGTGAATATGCTCAGAGGGTAGCATGGCAAGGGACTCAAAGCTTTGGACCGGTTGTTCTGGGGAGACAAAAGCCGCTGCCCTCGAGTGTGGGGCGAAGGCAATCTTGTATTCGTGCATGCCCTGCAGGCCTTGGGCAATAGGTGTGACATGAATCATGGACACTTCACTACTGATGACTGGACTGTACCATAACTTGCCGTCCAATTTTGCGCCTTCTGCAAAGGTCAATTGGGGCAGGAAGAGAGCAAGAATGGCAAAGACTTCCCCGAAGGGGATTGGCTTAAACAGGTCTCGTGTCACCTCAGTGAGCCATTGCGAACATACATCCGGCTCGCTGCTACCGACTCGAAAATTGCGCAAGAGAGTGCTTGAGCTTCCGCCATCGACGAGATCCCCTGCTCTGGCACACAGCGACGCAGCAGGTGAAGGAGCTCAGCATCAGGGAGATGGGTCTGAGGTGCTAATTGCTCAATTGCAGTGAGCCAGTCTTGCTGGTTCATGACCGTTTCGAAGCGAATCCAGGACGCAAGTCGGAGTGGTGCTGCCATTCTATCCCGGATAGGGATGACGTCCGGGTGGCTAAGCTTGAGGTCGGAGAGGAGACACCGACCATTCGGAAGATTACAGTGCAACCAGTGCCAGTATCTGTGTTTGTCGGGGCCCATATATTTGTTTGCCTCCGCGACAATAGTGCATCGAAGGCGGTATGCAATGACGTTTCTGTCGGTGGGACTGGGGTGCCAGTCGCACAGCATATCCTCTTCCGCATGAACTGGGTGGATGTCGCATTGGCCGGGGGATGCGATTTCCATCAATGCACCCATGACTCCCTTAGGCATTGCAATGGCGCCCAATATTGCCGAGACGGGGCATTCTGGAAACAGAGCACACAGGGCTATCACAATGGTGGCTCCAGTATAACTGCCGGCACTAAATCCTTCTACGTGAAACTTGGTGGGGGCATAGAGCCCAGCGGCATTCGTGCTATTCCAATGCGCGACAAATATGGCAGGCACATAAGGATACGTGCCGCCTAAATGTGCTCACTTGCTTGCAATTTCGTTGAAGGACAAGATCTACTGAGCGCTTTGCTGAATTCATAGCCCCTGTTTCACCTCACCATGCCTTCTTGGCTCCACGAGTTACTCTACAGGTTGCCCCCTCTCTGGTGGTTCTGCTGGTTTTGGTGGGTTTGGGTTGTTTGGTTTGGTTTGGTTGTGTGGTTTTTTGTGTGCCTTTCCCTGTTGGGTCGCAACCTGGTTTGTAACTCCTTCTCAACTCGACTCAGATGAATTGTGCAAAACCTGCACACACAGCGCCTCCACTCGTGCAAAAAAAAAGGCCAGCGGAATGTTGTGGAGGGGACACCCTTCTAGGCATTCCTGTGAGTGGAGGACTTCGCTGCAATCTCGAAAGAGAATGCAGTACTCCATACTCTGCTGCAGTTTTTCCCAGATTGGGTTCTCTAGGTAGGTCTGCGTGGCCGCTTGCAAGAAGTCAATGGTGCACCCAAAAACCTTGAGGTCAGTCACGGAGGCGATATAGTCGACCACATGGTCCTCAAGGTCCTCAAACCGATCAAACTTCGCAACGCTAAGAGAGACATTTACGATCGTGCCCGAAAGGGCAGTTAACACCAAGTGACAGTCCATAACCGGCTCGCATTCTGGGGGGGAGCTGTCTCCTGATGACCCAGCGAGCTCCATGGGTGGGTAGCTACTTTAGGTTGCTGCTTGAGCCAATGGCTTCACAGTGTGTTCGTTCGGAGCTGGAGTTTTGCTTGCTCTGTGTGATACACGAACTAGAAGAGCAGCTCTCTTAGCTCAGATTTACAACACAGGACAGATGCTAAGGCACATATCCTGGCAACTGCTTGACCTGTGAGTCTGTGATTTGCCCAGGAAGGTATGTTGACAATTTCCAGTGTCTAGGCAAACAAGCCTGTGGCTGAGGTTACCCTCGGAGAGAAGAGTGAACTGGCGGGCTGCTGAGGTAGACCTGAGAGTACAGTCCGATCTGTGTGCCAACCTGCCTTCAGAATGGCCTCTAGCACGAATCAGTGTCTGGATGCGCCATATCAGTGTGCTTTTGCGGGTCACGCTGCACAGGCGGCCAGCCGAACTGAGCTTCCGAAAAATTGACTTCACAAATCTGCCCCGGGAGGTCGTCAGGCATGCCCGGCAAGACTTTGACAATGTCTGCGGTGCCATGGCTGCACAGCTGGCAGCTCTCTTTGCCTTTCTCAAATCAAGTCAGACGGAAGAGTCGACATGTGAAGCGAGGAACTAGCACTCTAATGCGGACCGTCCTATTGGCTCTATGGCCTTTTGTCTTTCTGTGCTGAGAGCTGCGAAGCGAAAACCGCAGAAATCGAAGGTTAACCAATTTTCAAAACAAGCAAAGAAAGAAAAAAGGATTGCACCCCCTGCGTCGGGCACTGAGACCGTGGCAGGCCGAGAGCCTGAATGGTTTGGTGTCCTCCGAGGCACTTGCCTCGGGTCGCCAGTAGCAGCTATTTTGGAGCAGCCCTGGTGCAGGGGGCAGGTGAAGGAGGGAATTTTCTTTGTGGCTCGCACCGCCATGCATCACAGAAATGAATCTTGCGCAAGGCTTCGAAGTGATAGTCCTTGGCCTTATTTCCGCATCGCTTTGGCCCGGTGGGCACCAGACTGTGCTGCCTGCCGTGAACCTCGTGCCCCCACATTTGCTAACCGTATGCAGAAGGCGCCATGATTGGGGATGGCTTACATCTGGGACAACTGGCCAGTCCGGGTCCGAGCGCCCATCGGCTGCACACCCGACCGCTGCCGTGAACAGGGTGGGCGCTAGCTCGCCTCACCACTGTAGTGTTCAACTAGGCACGTAGGAATTGGTCCATCCCACAGTGAGTGCGGCTCCATGGCATCAATGAAGGTGGCGGTTGCGGCTTGGACACCTTGTGTTCCTACCTCAAACGTCCCTTAGGCCCTTAGATAGTATGCAGCCAACTTTTTCTCACCTGTCTCACCTCCGTACAGAGGAAACACTGTTTGATTGATGGGGAATCGGCCTCTATATGGCTGGTGCTGAAAACACCGACGCCGCCGACATCCGACATGGTGAGCCGTTGGAACTTTGTAGATCCCTTGCCGGATCGTTTTTCACCTGAAAACCGCATTCGTTTTCACCTGACAGATCTTTGGAGGGAATCTCCGGTGATAACATTTCACTCGCCAGCTCCAGCTCTTCCATGGACTTCTCTGTCCCGATGACAGCAGGCCTCTACCTCCTTATTTTTGGAACATACCACTCTTCGTTTGGGGGACATTTATCTGGTGGTCTGTTCTCCCCTAGACTTCACTTGGTGTTGAATCGGAATAGCAGGGGGGAACTGAATGAGAAATTCCTGCACTCGGAAAATAGAAGCC